AATATGTATAGCTTTCATAGTGGACCTGCCTGACATAAATCCAAAATGATTATGAGAAATCTTTGTAATGCGTTTTAATCTATTTTCAATTACCCTCTCCCATAATTTTAAACTTAAAATTATGACACATCAACTTAATTCCTCTATAATTTGCACACTCTTGTGCATCCCCTTTATTCTTAAAAATGGGGAACAAAATACTTTTCCTCCACTCCTCAGACATCTTTTTAGTTTTTAAAATAATATTAAAGAGTTTAGTAAGCCAAAAAACTCCCAAATCTCCTAAATATTCCCACACTTCAATTGGGATATCATCAGATCCTACAGACTTTCCACCCTTGGTTTTTTTTAAAGCCTCCTCAACTTCTTTTTTACTAATACAACTGTAAAAATGAAGCATTTTATTATTATTCGCGATATTAAGATCACTAAGGTCGATCGTATTTTCAGAAATTTCATTAAAAAGTTTATCAAAATAACTCACCCACATATTTTGAATATCTTTTTCTAAGAAAAGTACATTTTGATTTTCATCTTTAATACACTTTACTTGAGTTAAATCTTTACTTTTCTTTTCTCTTTGTTTGGCTAGTTTATACATATATTTTTAACCCTCCTCAGTATCTAATCTATTATAAAGATCATTAAAAGCAGAATTTTTAGCGTCAAAGATTGTTCTTTTAGACTTTCTGCGCGTCGTTTGATATTTTTCTCAGTTCTTTAAGCTTTTACATTTAAACCAACTTTTATAACATAATTTCTTATATTTTATCTTTTCTTGCGCATTATTATTCCACCACTATTATTCCACCACCAACTATTTTTATTTATAAAAACTTTTTTTTTTGATTCTCCAAGCACATTTTTTGCTACTTGTTTAATAGTGTTTGTTATTTTATCTCACGTAATATTTGCTTTTTCTTGAATATCTCAAATTTTGAAATCTTGAATTTTAGTCATAAAAATAATTTTATTTGTGTCTTTTAAGTTTCTCCATCTAATTCTACGACGATGAGTCCTAGTATGATGAGTCCTAGTATTCTTTCTTTATTTAATAGTTTTATTTAATTTATCCCACATAACCCTAATCCCAACATGCACGTGCTATTTATTTTCTCTCCCTCATTGCCCACCCTCTCCATCTAGCTCTCATGATCCCATGCTCGGTACCTATCGTTTCTCTTCCCTTTCTCTCACTCAACCCAATTATGTCTCCTTGCACAAAACTCTCTTGCAGCGAAGCCTATATATGCCTCTTCCTCCTCACTTGCCTTCTCTCCTATCCTTGTAACTAACGCCTTTTATGTCTCCCTCATCTCCCCCTTCTCTTTTTCTAACCAACAGTTTTAGCTTCGAATGTTCTTATTCATCTTCTCCTTAAATCTCTAACAACATAATTACATTGATGATAATAGGTATAACCTTCGCATAGCTTTGTCTCCCTCTTGAACCTCCATGACATTTATTGTTGATGCTTAATTACAGCATTTGCTCGAGCATGCCTTATTAACATCTTGATATGAGAAAATTAATAAAATTTATCAGGAAATTGTTGGTGTGCAAACTTAATTATCTATCATTTTTTAGTGTTTCATAACTAACTAGCAAAACACATCATTGCCCATCTCGAATCCCATGAAATAAATCACAATGCCTCCATATTATGGTATCCACTAGGATAGACCTTGTTGCTTATTCAATGGCAAAAGTTATATCAAGATCCACTATGGTATCCATCGAGGCATGTCTAGTTTTCCTGGCCAAAAAAAAAAAACGGTTAAAAAATTAAGGGTAGATGGTGTATGATTTTAATTCAATTTTCAAACAGTCATAAAATTTTTAGAATTTCAATTAGAATTAAGGCTCTATTATTATTTAAATCAAATAAAGAAATGGTGAAAGCATTAACCAAGTTATTATTGCAAAAATCAAAGTTGAGCAAAAGACAACTTAGCCACAGATCACAAAGAATTAAAGTCTTGATCAATTAAAAATTCGAATGAAAAAATGAATATGTATTTTTATAGGGCCATTAATATCAATGTTGATATATCAATAATAATACTGCTATATTAACTCCAATATATCTAGAAGCATATATGAAAACAAATCATTATATGAAATCTATGAATAAATTTGGTTATATGGGATGGGATACATATGTGCCTATAAAAGGTTCTCATGCACCTATCTTTATGTGCATTGGTGAGTGGACCAACAAAATAGTTATGTTCTAATGCACCGTGAACTTCAAAATATATTTAAAATAGTATCAGAGTTTTATATCTTCTACTAACCTAAATACTTGTAATACCCCATAATGAAGAGAAGATTATCTAAATAGCATATAAAACTTATATTGCTATAATACCCTCAAGTTCCTAAATAATATACATTTATTGTTGACTTTGTTGATCAGATTGGTAGGCTAATGACCCAAATTTGACCTTGCTATTTTTCAATTGATCTAAGAACCATCTTAGTCATAGCTTTAATATGAGTGTTAAACTATGTGCTACATCGATGACCAAAATTACGCCAATTTAACCATAAGGGAAACTTTGTTTATGCAATAAGGTTATAAGATCCATCCATATAAGCCATTTTAAAATTAGATATAGAAGATCTACATCTGACTATTTTACCTAAGAGTAAAGTTAGTTTGTCCAAGTCCTAAGCCTTTTGCTCTCTAGAATTTTATGTCTGGACATCTAGACAGTTCTACACATCTATAAGTACCCAAAAATTTACCCACTTTGAAGTAACAGTTGAAAATCAATTCAATCCGTATTAAATTCTTTGTTTGATTGTCGATGAAAAAGATACTAGCTAGTGTTATCAAAACACAAAGCGCAATGTGGCATACAAGACTTCATTTTTGCTTCAAAGCACGAAGTGCAAAGCGAAGAACGAAGCAATACTTTTATTAACCAATGCGCTAATAAGTTGCACAAAACTATTAATATATAAATGCATTCATTAATGATTATAAAATATAAAGTATGAATTAAAAGTTAATATAAAATAGAAAAAAATGTGGTGCAATACATAACTTGAAGGCAAATATTGAGGGTAAACCTTCCAATTAATCATTTGCTGCAATAATTAAAAACTTAAACGTTGCTAAAAATCTTGAAAATTAACTTCAACGCTTTAAAGCGCGTCTCAAAGAAGAGAAGCAAACGTCATGTGCTTCGCTTTGCCGTAAAGCATGGTTAAAAGCACGTTTTAGAAAATATTGACTCTAGCATAACCCACCATCTACTTCTGACCACATATAACATAATTCACCAATGTCTTTATACTTGTAAAGTGCAGTGGCTTAACAAAAAAATCATCACATCATTGAAATAATACATACTCTTTTTCTTGAAACTCAACTACCCTTTCACCTTTGGGTCAGCACCCTTCCTGCTTGATAGACTAGTTACCCTCTAAAAACGCCAACTTAAATTTTCCATATCACTCTCTTACAACTAAGTACTCCATTACTTTAACCTCTAAGGTATTGAATATGTATCCTTTCCTTGGCTCAGAGCATAATCTCTGCGCAAATTCTGTCCACTACCAACTCGCCACAGATTTCTCAGCTACATTTCCTTACGCAATAGGTATATCTTTTTGTGTTAGTTATTAAGATGGTTGTAAAAGAAATTTAAATTGAGATATATTTAAAAGGTAGCTGACTTTGAACTTGTTTAACAAAGATAGAGTAGATTATATATTATTTTAGTTGGTTTGATATTAATAATCATCAATTAATATTATTATAAGATATGGTAGTACTTAGGTGTGAAAAGTTGAATTTTTGGGATTCATTATATAGCAGAGTGGTGATATAGATGACTACATAACTTAGAGTTATTGTTAGATTGTTAAATTTAACAAGATTTCAAAAGCGTTGTCTAATAGAAGCATATAATGGGGATTTAAAGATCAATAATTTAAAATCACATTTAGACAGGTATATTTTTATAAATCCTAATGCTGCGCAGCAAAAAAAGTTATTAATATCTATTTTGAATATGACATAAATCAATTTGTTAAGATGGATATGTGATAAAATTAGGAAGGATAAATTAATGAATTATATTTCAGAGAATTGAAGTGACTTCAATTGAATATAAGGTTAATGAAAGTAGACTTGGATGGTTTGGACATAGACAATGAATGGTAGAAAATGTGTCCATTCGACAAATAGATAAAATTAGCGTCAGATGATTAGGATGGTCAAAGGGTAGACCCCAAGGTTACATGGATGGATCTAAAGAATGAAGAATAATAGTTTGAAAAGTGGACTCCAATGTGTGGATAGGGAATTGATTATGAAGAATGAAGAATAATAGTTTAAATGCAAAATGATTTGAAAAGAATATATATAACACCCAAGACAACATTTAGTTGTAAAGAATGATGAATAATAGTTCATAAAGTGGACTCCAATGTGTGGAAAGGGAATTGATTAGGTTGATAGACATTTTTTTTGATTTGTTAACCAATATTTATAATTTTACCATTAGCTTCACCCATGAAAGTTCTTAATCTTTACTCCAGTTGCTATTATATGTGTACCTGCATGATGTTTATAGGTGTTTTCAGATGTAGTTGCTGGCCTTTGAGCCCCTATTCAGTTAATAGCTTCCATTTAAGTTTCAAGTACTTTGTTCATCCTGCACCGTGTTTTGGATTAGGGATCCTGATAATTTTGACAATGCAATTTTCCTCTGGAAAACCATCTTGCAGTTATACCTGCAAATGTGTTTCGGTCATTATTCTCATGCTGAAAAAAATCACAGTAAAAGCTTTTCCTTAGGCCTCTAGTTACATCGCATAAACCCTAATTCCTCCTGCTATTCAATGTTCATTTATGCATTCAGCATTCTCAATATCTTTTCTCCTTTTTATTTGCGCTACTATATTTTCTGCTGATATCTGATCTTAGCTTATAATTTAGACTTTTAATTCCATCACAATTTATTTTTTTCAATCATTTACTGCAGTCAGGAAGCACCAGTATAGATTCATCAGCAGCATGCAGCAAACTAAAAGCAAACCTACGAGCAGTGTTCAAATTGCTCCCCAAGGATTTGCAGGAGCTTTTGCTAGCAAACCCTAAAAGAGCGGGCCTTCTTCATAACAGTTCAGAGTCTCCAAAGCTACCAGGGCATCCATCAATACGAGGTTTCGTGTAGTGGTTCATGAAACAATGCTATCCTTTTTATCTCGAGAGAAATGTCAAAATTGTCCTCTGACTTTTGCAGTTCATTTTCAGCCCAAAGTCTAAAAGCCTCAATTGAGTCTCCATACTTTTTTTTAATATGGGCCAAAATAGTCCGAACAGAGTACTATTTTAACCTCAACTTAAGAGTTTGAGGACTAATTTGACACTTGTAGGCTCTGGGACTAAGATTCCCCATGTAGACAATCCGGCAACCATTTTGGCACTTTACTCTTTTTGTCTCTATGGAATTGGTTGCAGTCTTAACCTTGCTAAGCTCTTCAGCTGTCGCCATTCGCATTGATGACTGCTATATGTCTCCAGCCACAGATTTCAGTTTTTGATTCTCAACTCAAGTAGCGGAGATGCCGGCTTTATTTTGGCACCACGGGATTCATATTTATTGTTCCCAGGTTAGATGGGTCTAATTGTACCTTTCTCTTTTTAATTTAGAAATTGTTTCCTGGTTTCTTCAGTTGCATCACTAATGTAGCTGTGTTTCATGTATCTTAAATGTTGTTATTATTTTTTTCTATTAAAATTTTAGCAGAACTCTTGTGCTCATTTTCTTTTTTGAAAGAACAGTTTATGGAATATTCATGTCTGATAAAATTTATTTAGGACATCATGATCAGATTTTTGTCAATGTGTTTAAAATATATCGGAATTTTTTTGAGATGAGTGTATTGTAGGAATTAATTGATTGGCTAATATTGCACGCATCTCAAATTTAATTTAATTATTTTAAAATTCATAATGTTCAAAATTTAATAAGCATCTGATACTTTTTTAAAAAAAATTGTGTTGAAAAAGCAGAACTTGTTTTAATAAAATAATAATAATAGAAGGATATTATCAGCTTGGAATGCTGCCAACGGCAGTTTTCTCTGCGTTTCCTCGTGTGTTTTGAGATCAATCCTGAATTTCTTTTGTTATAATGCTCTAAAAGTTTTATATTTAACCAGTCTATGCAACTGCAATGCTGAGGCAGATCTGTAAATAAAATTATTTATTATTTGGCTATAAAAGATAATATATGATAATTTGGTATGCTTTTATAATTTGGCTTATTGAATCAGATGGTTATCAAAACCTCATAATATTATGGTTTTAATTAGATTCTTAATTTTTTTTCTGCTCTTTAATAATATTATGAAGAATAGATGTAGCATAAATAAGTTGAATTGTGTTGTGTTTTACTAGATCTACCACACATTTCAGAGCAGAACTGTAAAATGAATGATATATTGGAGTATCCAAGTTGGGGAATACCTGTTACTATATTATTCTTGACCATTTTGATCAGTCTTTTTTCTTTTTAATGTTTATTGGAGTAGATTTGTTGATATTTGGTTGGATTTTTTTAAAAAGATTGTGTAATTTGATTTCATGTATTTCATAAATTTATAAGTTGTTTGGTTGGATATAAAGTAAATGCATTTAGGAAATGTAATTGGCAGCTGCAGTTGCCAGAGCTAGACAATTGGTTAGGGTGAGCGAACAATGAGCTAGGGATGATGATGAGCGTGCTGTGACAGGTAGCGGCTGATAGCTTGCGATAGCCTTGGCTGGAAATCAGAGATGTCAGGTGACAATAGTGGTTGGTGATTGACAACTAGTGACACAAGGAAAGTTATTAGGTGCTGAGTGAGGAGAGGGGGCGGGACCTTATATCTGTCTCTCCCGCATCTAATAATTTTTCGTGCACAAGCTTCAGTTCTGCAAGTTCCACGTTTGTGGAATCTGGCATTTTCGACGGGGATCACTTGAAGGCTTCGGGCTTCAGTGCAACTGATAGTCACCCAAAGTATTCTTTGACATGTTTCTTAATTTATATTTAAGCTATTTCCTGTTAGAAGCTTATTTATAAGGGGTGTTTTGCTGTTTGTAAGAACTTTAGCTATTGTTATTGTGTTTGGAGATTTTAGTTTCTATTTTATACTTTCCGGGGTGTTGTATATTCTTTTTTTAGCTAGTGATGTATATGTCTTGCTTAGTAATAGGTGGTGGATCCTCCTGGTTTTCTATAACTCGTTTTGTGGTTCTCCTTGTTGTTTCAGTCTGGACTACCGATGAACGTTGTCTATTTCCATCCAAATGTTGTCGACCTCACATATTAGCATCCCTTTGCTATTTCACAATCATCTCCCTTCTAAATATGTTTCTCAAACGCTTTTTAGGAGATATGGAATGATGTTATTTGGTATTAGAACCCGATAAATTATACATTTTTAGGGATTTATCTTTCCTACGTCTAAACCAAGAATCCATACAACCTCACATAATATCACAACCAAAAAAAATTACTTTTCACGTCATCAACAACCCTAGCTCTAACCCTAAAACATATTTTTTTTCATCAAAATTTTTATTGAAAGAATACAATGTCATGTTGCCAATGAGAAATTCTCAACAGAGTGTTGAGGAGTTCAATATGAAATACATGCTTTAACTGCAACAAAAATTTGTCGCTTTTGAGAGGAGACAATCCTATGAGGTCATGCGTAGCCACAATAGTGGCTCGCCAAATTGAGGGAAGTGAACTCCTTCAATTGGAAAATTTCCAACGTCTAAGAATTTATACCCCGACAATTTGACATGAAATATCAGAAAATACACTAGGATTTTGGAGTGAATATTGATTTGTCTGATTTTTACAGTTATATATATATATA